ATACTGAATTCCTTAGTCAAACTACCATTCATAAGGATAGAGATAGTAGCTGAAGATAGACACTCCTTTATCCATTTGCGCCATTTTTGACCAAACCTCAGCATTGTTTGCATTGTGTCCAGATAACTCCAATCAACAAAGTCAAAGGCTTTTCAAAATCAAATTGGCTCGAACTTATCACTTTATTGATTACTTTTTGAAGCCTATTTGTAAGTACCTTGGCCAGGATTTTGTAAAGGTAGCCAACCACGCTTATCGATCTGAAATGTAAAAGGGATTCAAACCTTCGACCAGCTTCCCATTCTTATGAAACTCTTTTATGAAATTAGCAACATCTCCTTCGATTGTGCTCCAAATTGATTTGATGAAATGACAATTGAAGCCATCGGGTCCTGATACCTTATCGTTGGCACAAGAGAAAACTGCTTCTTTGATCTCTTCCTCATTAAATTATGCCTCTAACACGTCCCTGTCTTCCTCATTTAGTTTGGTGAATTGTAAACTATCCAAGAGTACTCGAAGCTGGGGTTGACTAGAGAATTGGCTCTTGAAGTGTTCCATTATAAACTGTTTGACTTGCTCTGGTTCATTAGTCCAAGTGTCTTGTTTATTAATTCCACGAAGCAAATTCTTTTTCTTTCTCCCATTGACAAATCTATGGAAGAAACCCATGTTTGCATCTCCCTCTTTGATCCATATAGCTCTGGATTTTTGCCTCCAAAGGCTCTCTTTCTTCCTTAAACAATGCCAGAGTTTAGCAACTCTTTCCTTCCTTTTTAATAGATCCTCCTCTGTGGGGTCTTGATCATCACACTTGGAGTCCACAGTTTCAACTTTTTGAAGGGTCCTTTTTCAATTGATTGTCGATACTACCAAATGCCTCCTTGTTCCATTTCTTAAGATGCTATTTTAAGTGCTTAAGTTTTTGTTTGCATTTGAATCCCTAATACCCATTTATCTCAAAATTACTCCATTGTTTCTCAATCATCGGTCCAAAATCAGGATGTAAAGTCCAACTATTGATAGACTTGAAGGTTTTTGGTCCCCAATCATTGTGGCTAGGACATAAGCTAACAGGGCAGTGATCACTAATGCTTTTTTTAATTGCTAATTGAACACAGGTTCCCCATGTTTTTTGGTTATTTTTTGAGAGTAAAATTCTATCTAGCCTACTATGTGCTATTTCATCACTCTTATACTAAGTAAATTTTCTATTTGATAGGGGTAAGTCTACCAAATTGTTTTTCTCAATGAACAAATTGAAAACACCAGAACCAGGTTGAGATGTCATTTTACCTCTTCTCTCATTCGGTCCTCGGACACAATTGAAGTCACCTCCTATACAAAAGATGCCACCTCGAGCACTAATTTGAGATGAAATATCACTCCACAACTTTGCTCGACCAGCTGCATTACAGGGCCCATAAATATTTATGAAGCAGTGTCTATGTTTCTTTTCACCCCACAAGCCTTCAACGCCGATAAAGCCACAATAGGGACTAAAAAGAGGCCTTTCTTAAGTAGAGGGATTAAAAAAATATTTTTATTAAAATAGAGGAACTAAAATGTGATTTTAACCAATTTTTAAACCAATCTGATTGTGATATTTGAAAACAATATAATTTGAGTGGTTAAAAAACTCATCATTCCCTTCCCATCCTCTCCCCTGGAAACAAGCTACTAATACTAGCCGCTTCTGGTACAAAAGCATTGTTATTCAAAAGGCCATATTTATTTGTTGTAGAAAATTCCTAGGTTTAAGCTCTCTGCTTATTTATTTTCTAGTAACTTATGCAATCAAAATATAATTAAAGAAAATAGAAGTGAAACTCACACATGTACCGAGTCATGTTGGAGTTGAAAATTTGCTCTGGGATTTCGCCTGAAAGTTTATTCTTTACCAAATGACTGAGGATAAAGGAGAAAACTTTAGATGATATTATTACAAAAGAAAACAGAAAATAATAAAACAAGTTAAAATTAGGAAGACAAGTAACATACAAATGCTTGGTATGGACCAACATGTCAAGGCCAAGTGTAGTTCCATCTGACACAGGAAATGATCCCTCTAGCTGGTTCTCAGTAAGATCTAGCCAAAATAGATTTGATAGATTACCAATAGATGGTGGAATTTGTCCTTTGAAGTTATTGGAATTTAGAGATCTGCAAGCAATGATGGGTTTTAGAGATTTTTTTTTTATCTTAATTGCACAATGGGAGAGAACCCCTCTCATCCCTTATCCCACCTCACTCGCATACTATACAACTTGAACTCAAGACCTCTGATTTGTAGTGGAAGGAGATTACCACTGAGTTAAGTCATTGGCAAGTTTCAAAGATGTTGGCTAGCATGTGATTGCTCCAATTAAAATTGAAAAAATGTGCAAATAAGGATGCTAATTTTGTATTTTTTTTATTTAACAATGTTAACCTTTAAATAAATATATCAACTTTCAACTTTTTCTATTTAAAGACATCAACTTTCGCTTTTCTATTTAAGGATTAATATTATTTAATAAGAATTGTATAAAAATTTAGCATATAACATGATTTTTCTTCATCAGTTTCTCTTTTAATATATAGATAGATATAGAATAATTTTCAAATGCAACATGATGAACTGATTGAGCCAAACAAAAATGGAAAATAATTTAGGGATAACTTTTTTGTACCACCTTTTTTTGACAACCTTACACTTCATTTAAATAATTGGCTCTTTGTATTCATATGGAACCTGTGATATTGAATGCATCTATTTATTTAATAACATGTGAAAGTTGTATAAAAATGTTGTACAAGAAGATTGACCCTATATCACTACTCAACAGAAAAAAGCCAAATATAAGATGAAGAGCATAAAATCTAATAAAATTAATTGTATAAAACTTAGAATTAAAAAGGAAATAAATACAATTTTATGAAATGGAATTAATAAAACTTCAATGATATAACATAAAAGGAGTGGGGTTATTGTTACACCATAAATAGTTAATAGCGTATCATTTTAATATAATTGTCTATTATACCTTTACATTACATTTTTTTTCTCAAAATTCTTTTTTTTCTTAATAAATTAAATAGTATAATAGTTAATTAAAATAAAAAAAAGTGTGATATTAATAATTGAAAGCGTGGTAATAACATCACCCCATAAGAGGGAGAATAAAGAACTTTTCTATACTCATCTTTGTATGCGTCTAAGTTTTAAAACATTTCGCTAACATTATTATTTTTTCATGTCTAACTCTATCCACATAAGTAGCTTTAATATTATTGAAAAAATAAAAAAAGCTTGACGCTCTCTTTAATTTTACAAATATTATATAATCACTATTCAAATTTTATGAAATGGTATTAATAAAACTTGAGAGATGTAACATAAAAGGGATGGGGTTATTGTCACACCCTAAATAGTTAATAGGTTAAATGTCAATTTTGGTCCCTTAACTTTAAAGTTTTGCAAAATTTTCATCCCTCAACTTTTTTTGCACTTTTTTGGTCGTTTAAATACCATTTTGGTCTCTCAACTTTTTATTTTGACACCAAAATTGTCCTTCAACTTTAAAAAGTACTAAAGTTATCCCTTAACTTTCATTTTCGATACCAAAACAGTTCTTCCGTCAGTTAAATAGACAAGTGGCATGTTAAATTTCCAGAATATCAATCTTTATATATTTTTTTAAATGATGTGTAAATTAAAATATTTTTTTATTTATGATCTGGAATAAACTTCATCTTCTTCCTCCTTCCTTTCCCTACTCA